GTGTGTGTGTGTGTGTGTGTGCGCACATACCCAAGAATTTGTGAAGGGCAGTCCAACCTGTTAGCTACATGAAGATGAGTTAGCCTGTCAGTCTTTGTGTCCGTTCCTGCTGCCACGGCTGTCACTCCATAGAGGTTGCCAAGGTGACCGTTTATCACTGCCTCTGGGTTATTTATCATTGTTTTGTGAGTCACTGTTATAATGTCAGTTTGGTGATAATGAATATTTTTCCTCCTACGGGCGATTGGTCCGAGCTGTGGCTTCGCTGCCTTCTCTCCTCCCCACCTAAAAAAAAAAAAAAACAGTATAGCAGCTTGTGGCTGTGGGAGTCATTTATATGTGGCAAACGCGGGTAATTGCTGTGAGCAGAGAGGACGTGCCGGCCCGTCACGCGGGAAGCAAGGCAGATACGTAAATAAGCTAATGGGTATGCGGATACATACATAAATAAATAAAACCGGTTTGAGTTGGAAGATTCCGGCGACTCGGAAGATTAGGTCCACGTCTTCTGTTTGCGTGTTCGCCACAGCAGAGGTGGTAGAGTTCCCCAGGGTTTGTATTAGCGAGAGACAGACACTTCTTACTGCAATGGTTTAGGGAGGCCCTATTGTGTCTCTGTTGGCTTCTTAGGAGGGAAAGAGATAGAGCCCCCTTTCCACTTGCCTGGGCCCACAAACAAGCAGGATGAGCTCCTCCTGTAATTCATCTTAAGGCTGGAGTCGTGATTGACCGCGACAGAGATGAATGCCTAATCGGCCAGGCAGTCTGGGATTGCCGATGGAGGCGTGGGTAGCAGAAGGCTCATTCTAGTGTGTGAACTGACCTTCCGTCCCCTGGCATCTCTGTGCCAACAAGTGACCAGAGGGCATGAAAACTGTTGCTCTGGGGTGCGTGATATACACAGAATAACTTATGTGTAAAGGTATGCAAGAGCGAAGAATATCCAGTGTCTTTGCGAGTCGAGCGATAATGGGCATGACCAGATTATATAGCATACTGCCATAGTTTGGATGGTCCATGCGGGGGTGGAATTAGGCGGGGGCGGAGGGGCAAACGACACTTTAGTCACAAAACATATGGAAGGAGTATGAAATGTGCATTCCAAGCCATTTATATAACAGTTTGGGGTAAAATAGCATAATCTGTAATATTATAATTTATCTTAAATTTGGCCAATCAATCTGCTGCCGCGACAGCACTCCCGCCTCCACCCTGATTGGTGAATTTTACAGACAGCACTCCCGCCTCCACCCTGATTGGTGAATTTTACAGACAGCACTCCCGCCTCCACCCTGATTGGTGAATTTTTTCGCTGGCCCCCCACACTTTGATTGCTATATTATTGATGCTCCACTATTTTCATTCCCTCTCATTTCTCTTTCGGCTTCAAAAAAAAATAGGCCTACCTCAGTTATCCACTTAAGGGGCCCCCTACCCATCCATGTCAGCCTAGGGCCCCCAGAGAAGTTTGCCCGCCCCTGGTTCCACTGCAGTTTCATTCAGCAGATTTTATCGTGGGACCCCCCCTGCCAAGATACTGCAATAGCTTGACTTTTGAAAATACCGTATGGCAAGTTACACGAGAAGCATGCTAGCTAGCGATGTGTTATAAACAGAGATTGACATAACTGTTACGCAAGTACACATTAGTGGTATAAAGGGTTTAATGCCCCGGTTATTTCTTGTCATAACCACACAAAGGCATCCTTCTCACGCAGTTTAATATTTAAAAAAAGTTCTTGTCATAATAGTGCAGATGTGCATAAAACAAGTATTCTCAGTTTTGTAGTTCTGTGAAACAGGAATTTTCTGGTTGTTGCATCAAGTAGCTAGAATGGAACGGAATGAGTGGCAAATGTTCTTTCGCGCTAGTGTGACCATAGGAGAAGGAACAGATGTTTCACTTAGGGGAGTAAGTGTTTACTTTTTGGGGTTATGGATTCAAAGAAGCGGCAGAGAATGAAGAAAAATTAAGAGCAATGGAGAAAACAGAACTAACAGCCTCTACATCTGTGTTTGCAGGCCCCGCAGAACAGAGCCCGTCTGTACTGGCCTGCAGGACAAGATCCTCCACTGCTACCGTGAGAACCAGGGCCAGGCGCTGGGCTGTTCGGACCTGGCCAGGGAGTACATGCAGTGTGTCAACGCCGTCAAGAAGGCAAGCAACCCCCCCCCCCAATCATCTTTGACTGTGAGGGGATGGCAAAAGACCTCATGTGCTTTCTGTAAGGCAGAGGTGGGACTGGGGAGCGTGACAGTAGCACACAGTTCTCGGGTTTAGCTGTGAGTAAGACAGGTGGAAGCTGCTGAACATCGCAAACATCGCCTGTAAATGCACACAAAGTGGTAAAGCAGAGCCACGCAGTTATTATTTTACAGAGGGGAACCAACCCCCCTTCCCCCAAGAGGGAAAATGACAAATTCTTCAGGGAGGGGGCTTGGTTCTCAGTAAATCTCCTCAGGTTGCCCATGCGATCCAACATTGTGTTTGAGTCATTTGTCATTTGAGTAGCCGGGCTGTTCTCAGAATAAACATGAGCATTCATTCCCTCGGTATGTTTCACTCTTTAAAAACACTATAAACATTTGTTTTTTTTCTCTTCCCTAATCTATATAGCCTTCTGTATGCATTGAAGAGTCAGGGGATTTTATTACAGTCATGAAACAAAGGCGGCGGGTGGGGTGGATGAGAGGCGTGCTGCTGTTTGTTACAGCAGAATGTGAGGGGAGTAGGCCTCTGGTCCTGTGGCTGTGATGGGCAGAGCGGGCTGAGCTCAGGGCCTCTGGGAGGAATGTACAGTTTACCTTTTTAAGTTAAAAATAGTCACATGCTGGTGAAGGATGATTGTCTGAAAGCGTCTGATAATCTTCCTTCTGACAAAGTACTCACTCACACACACAGTGCGCAGTGGCAACGCAGTGACGGATCCAGAAATCACTGCTTATCAGCTCCGTAGAGATTTTGATGTTGCTAAAAATAATCAAAAACTGATGATTTTTTAAAATTTCATTCTCAGTGAGTGCACTTTTGAGAAAGTGGTGCTCTTTGTCTCTGGCAGGGTAGAGCCGTGTTGCTGTTTTTGGTTGAGTTTCCTCCACTGTGCAGGAAGGGAGATGTGATTCTGTGCTGCTCTTCTTCAAAGGCTTCACTCGCATCCTCACTCTTCTGTGCCACTCTACCTGTTATTAATATTTCAGCTTGGAAGAGGAAAACTAAAGGTTAAACATCAGAACACCATTCAAGAGATGATTTTCTTCAAGGGAGATTGTTTTATTTTTATAATATATTTGGCAGACAGATTATTTCAAAACCTGGAGAGGCCAGGTACATTTTTTCCATATTTATTTATTTGACTGCTAGGGTTTGAACCCTGAGGCCTTTGTGGTTTTTCTCACAAGCCTGGTCCGTTAGACGCCATACTGTCAACACAGAGGTTCTGAGTTAAGGAAGAATGAGGTGATGTTTAAGGCTGGATCTAGACCTTAAAACTTCCTTTTGAAAACATTCTTTGCACATTAGGCTCTGATGCAGTTCTGAGGCTGAATCACGCTCAACCACACTAGTGCTGGTCAGCAGGAATCATGAGCTTCAGATTTTCTTCTAACCTTGGAAACCTGCATTGATACCCTGTGTTGTTTTGTCCCTATGAGAGAAAATCTGTGCTAATACCGCTGTGTTTTTGACAAATTTTCCTCTCTCATCTAGGCAAAGCTGAGTGCCAGTTGTGTTCATTAGTTTTTCAGCGTCCTGTTCTTGTTAAGTTTTGACCCCATTGCAGTCTCTGTTGACCTTGTTCAGCTCTGCAGCATCGCAGTGCTGGATGCGCCTGACTAGCGGAGGAGTCGGATAATGGCACGCTTGTTTCAACATTGTTTAACTTTTTAAATATACTTTATGTGCTTATGTGCAGAAATATCTGTGTATATGTCTGTGTACGCGTATCACTGTGCTTTTAGGTATGAATTTTTGGACCAAGCACCAACTGCTGTTCGGTCTTCACTACCAACCAGCTGACTTCTTATTTTTAAATTGTAAAATATGCTTAAAATGTCTGTAAAACTTGTTAATATTTACGTTGTGATGAAGGTGCAGTGTGTTAATTATATTTTATCTGACACCTTCATCCAAAGCGATTTATAGTAGAGGGAAGGGTTACAATTTAGGGACTGGAACCCACAACCTTTGCCTTTTTAGGGCAATTCTCTCCTTGTTGAGCTATAAGAGAACAGGCCATGTGTCTGGCATTCAGTTAACTGCCACAATTCTGAAATATCGGTACAATGATAAAAAATTGCACAACTAAAACTAACACGGTTCTATGCGGTAAATATGTCAGTCCCTTTGCTCGCTTGTGGAGCAGCACGCTTCAGTCTTTCTGCTTGTTTGGCCATTGTTTACCTCGCATTTCTGCGGAATATCCCACTTAAAATAACAATGCAACAATCATTAATGTGTGTGTATAACAGCATTAGAGTAAGAAATGTGTTGCAACTCAGTGTTTTTCAAGAGTAGCATCAGTTATCTTGAAAATTCTGGCAGTGCCTTGGTCTCGACCGTTGACTGTATGCAGATGCTGATGCCCATTGCTTTTCATTTTTGTTATTTAATATGGGGTAATTAGGGATGTGCACGAGTACTCGATTAATCGATTACTCGAACCCATCAGCGACGATCGAGCATGAAAATGACGATCGATCCGCTCTAAAAATGCATTTTTAAAAATTAAACTACTTTCATTCTTTCTGATTGGTTATGCTGGTATTTGGGCGGTAGTCCGATATTTGATTGGTTACGGCTGTGAGAAGTTGCGGTCTAGAGACAAGACCGGAGCACAGAGCGAAAATGGCTTCTAAAGCGCGCAGCGATGTCTGGCAACACTTTGAAAAACTTGACGAAAAAACAGTCAAGTGTAAGATGAGCAGCGTCACAGTCGTCTACAACTCCACAGCGAGTTCGATGCGTTATCATCTTGCACATAAACACAAAAAAGCAGATGATGCCGATGCCACTACCAGCAGTCAGACGAGCATAAGAGATTCCACCATCAGACAGAAATGCGACAAAGGCCGGGCAGAGAAGACGACGCAGTAATAGCAGAAATGACAGCAGAAGGCTTGCTGCCTATTAGTTTTGTTGAAGGTGAAGGTTTTAAACGTTTAATGAATTACGTTGAGCCCCACTATACTGTCCGATCGCGCAAAACGGTCACTGCAAGGATTACGGGGCTTCAATTGCCGTTGTTTTAAAGTAACGGGAGAAGCGCATCCACTACTTTATGATTGGCACGTAGTTCAAGCTCACATGCATTTTGTGTAGATAAATACAATTTGTAATATAACATATACATATTTATGTATCTAGGGTATGTGATAAATTTTATATAAAATGCGTCATGTAGAAAAAGCGCTTCAGCTTCACCTCATGCTGTTACTACTTTTAAATGTTTACTGTATACTGTGACGCAAACGCCCCGCCCCTTGCTTAAACTCCACCCCCGATTAATCGAGTACTCGTTTCTCTAACCTGTGGATTACTCGAAATGAAATATGATCAAAAATGCCCATCCCTAGGGGTAATACTGCACAAAACACTACACAAAGTTTTACCTTTGGAAGTGAGTATTTGCAATTTTGGAGACTCGTGCATACAGGATAATGTTCTCATACAGTGCATGGTATGCACGCTGCATGTGGGGGAACAAGAGGTATGGGCCGGGTCCTGCAGATTCTGCAGCCGGGCTCTCGTAGCTGCGTTCTTCCCGATGTAGGCCACTATGTTGCCCCCCCATGGGGCCCCGGCTCGCTGTGTGGCCCTCTGGGGCCCCGGCTTGTTAACCGCCACCCTGCAGAAACACGCTGTTTGTTTTTCGAGTGACGCTTAAGTGCCGCCGTGTCACTTAGCTCTGAATCCCACCCCCCCCCTCCCCCCCGGGTCCTTTTTGCAGCATCTCCTAAACCTGATGTGCAGTTCCCACCCAGACTCCATCATTAAACATCCTGGCCGTCCATCATGGCCCCTCCGCTCGCTTTCTCATTGTCGGATTGCAGGAATATGTTACCTTCGATCCATTTCGCCGGCTCTGCCGAAATTTCTCTGGGCCCACAGCTAACGAGCCTCGGCCCGGAGCTGCTTCCTCTTTGTCAAGCTGCAGGCCTGGCGGGGGGAGAATTTGGGATTTGCGGTGTTGGGTTGGGCTGGTTAACTCCAGTTGCCATGGCATCAGTTGCCGAGGCAAATGACTGGTGGAAGGGAGGTGCTCTGCTGTGGGATAGCGAGCGAGGAGCAGAGTCTTCCTCGGCCACCGTGGCTGCCTAACGCCGTCTGCACCTCCAAGGCTGCGTCAGGCACCTCGCAGGCCCACTAAGCATGTAAACAGCAACAATAACATGGGCGTATGTGTCCTGTCAGAGCGTGAGAGGCGGCTTGAGAGGGTGCTTGATAAATGGCGCCTCTTATCAGTGTCCCTGTCGTGGCGACACCACGGTATATGGAGAGCATTAGCGTGAGGAAAAATTAAAATCACAGCAACGGCAGCGGAAAGTGCCGGTGGGAGATGGAGACGGTGGAGAGGTCGGGCACGTCGCGGAAGCTAGGGAGAAGGAAGCTGGTGTGAGTTGCCCATCACTTGGGCTCTAATGAAGAAGAATACACCCCCAGCACGAGCTGTTCTTGCTATGTGGGGGGAGGGGGGTGCATTGGAGATGGTCGCTGTCCTGCCAACCTGCCACTGAATGCTAATCACTGGTCCACCGGTGCCCCCTGTCACCAGCTCCGCCTGTCATTCCACCCTGGGGGGGCGTGTGCGTTTGTCAGGTGCGCCGCTTTCTCCCTGCAGTGTTTTGGGTAGTTATGACCTGCCTGTACATTGTTAGAGTGCTGGGTGTTGGTGGACTTCATTGAAGCTCCCTGACATAGTGCCTAAGCATCCTCTTTGCTGGATGGACAGCTGAGCTGGTGGGAGCCTCAGAATTCTCCTCCTGTCGCTGTGGAAGCCCAGATGACCTTGTCTCCTTGATAGTGGGGGGCTGGAGGTTGGGGGTCCTGAGAGACCATGAGGCAGCAGTGGGATCACTGTGATTGCGAGGTGCTGCTGGAACAGGATGCTAGATGGATTAATCACCTCCACTTCAGTCTGATACTAATGCATGGTTGAGATT